CCGAAGTCGGCCACTCAACCGACTGAGCCACCCAGGCACCCCATAATTTATGTAGGTTTTATAATCCTGGTCCCTGATTAGAAATGCCCTAACATTCCCAGATAGTAACTGAAAGCCCATTAGGTTAATACCTTAGCTTTTATTCCTAAGGATAGGAGTTTAGCAGCATGTGCTTATGTGCACCCATCCATACAGACACCCATATACACACACAGACACACACACAGACACAGACGCATATATACACACACTTCATTTTGACCCTACCTTAGAAAACTCTCCATGTTGGCGCCTCTTCCTAACAGGTGGCCTTAGTTATGGCAGAATGACTGGTGCCTCCTTACCACAGGGGGCCTCATTTCAGAGGCTCCTCAGGCTATTCCTGAGACTTTGTCTGGTTGTAAGAACACACGTGTATTGAAGTCCAGCTCCTCATCTTCCCACGCCCCTCACACACTAAGCATACTCCACACATTGATGAATGAAGGATTCATTGAATTGATAAGCTTTATTTATAATTCAGTTTTACTACTTTAATTGTAAGACTAAACTGACAGTGAGCTAAGTACTGATGACTCTTCAGGAACCGGAAGTTTTAAGTGGGGTAAGAAGAAGGAAGTAGGTCTGAGTGAGAGTGGAAGATGTTAAATCATAAGAAAGTAACCATAAAGGGGCACCTGGTTGGCTCAGTTGGTTAAGCATCTGACTTTGGCTCAGGTCATGATCTCACGGTTCGTGGGTTTGAGCCCTGCATGGGGCTCTGTGCAGACAGCTCAGAGCCTGGAGCCTGCTTCAGATTTTGTGTCTCCCCCTCTCTCTGCCCCTTCCCCGCTCTCTCTCTCTCTCTCAAAATTAAATAAACATTAAAAAATTAAAAAAGAAAACAAAAGAAAGTAACTGTAAAAGCCCTGACTATTAGGAGATAATGGATAGTCATTATAACCAAGTTTTCTACTTTGCTAGCAGAGAATAATACTCTTATAAGAAACAGGCAACCTGCCGCGCCTGGGTGGCTCAGTCAATTAAGCATCTGACTCTTGATTTTGGCTCAGGTTACGATCTCATGGTTTGTGAGTTCCAGCCCTGCATCAGGCTCTGCGTGATGGTGCAGAGCCTGCTTTGGGATTCTCTCTCCCTCTCTCTCTTCCCCTACCCCACTTACTCTCTCTGTCTCAAAATAAATAAATAAACTTAAAAAAATAGAGACAACCTTTCATTGCTCCTTTAGAAGCTGAATGCTCTATTTTCTTCTTTCTCTGTCTTTGCTTGTAGAAAATTCCTTAAAAAGCTTAAGTGGATTTCCAATAAGATAGCTCAGTAAATCACCCTTCCATACCTTCCCTCTGCTCCAAATACATTGCCTGATAGATGAAATGGAGGGAGAAGGAGAGGGAGAGTGAGGGAGAAGGTGGGACAGGGCGGGAGGGAGAAAGATAGATTGAGAAGTATAGCCAGGTCAAAACAAGACAAGCATTTTCACAGAGCAGAAAAATGACCAAAACACAAGGCCGTAATTTGAGTTAAGCCATAGATTTAATGAGCTCAAAGTCCAAAAGTAATATGGAAGTAAACAGCAAGACAACTCCTGTAGGGTGAAAAGAGTTAAAGTGCTTCTCAAGACATGGACTAGAGGTAGGTTCATGACTCTAGCTCAAACTAGGGACTTATGGAAAGCTGCCAAGGACTGACTGGGACTACAGCTTACTTGGAACCATACACTCGAAGAGGTAAAAGGACACAAACACACCCTTGCTCAATTGAGCAGGCCATTCGTTCATTAACTGGCTCTGTAACATTCCCTGACAACATAGCAGAACAAGAAATCTGAAATATCATATTTATGAGACCTGAGTCTGGACTGGGGAACTTGGCTAAAGAAAGGAAACCCAAACCCATTGGATGGTATGAACATAAAAGGAGAGAAAGAAACAAGAGACAACAACAAAAAACTTTGTGCCTGCAAACAGGAATTCCAAACATGTAAAGAAATGTTCAGAAAAAATTCGAAGTCCACAATCAGAATATGGATTCATTTCAGATTAATTTGGAGCATAGTATTATAGAGACTTTAAATATTCTTAGGCTACATGAAGAGATATATGACAGAATCATAGATTATAAAAAATGACCCCAAACTATGAAACAAAAATAGATGGAAATCATAGAAATGAAAAATATAAGTCATTAAAATAAAAAATATAATAGTAATTATATAAAAAAAATATAATAGTCATTAAAATAAAAAGCTCAATAAATTTAAAAAAATCTAAATAGTACACTAAATAAAAAGAGAAAATATTTTATTCTGGGGTATATCTAGAATATTTGCAAAAATTGACCAAGTAATATGTCTGAAAGAAAGTTTCAACAAATTTAAAAGGCTATAGGGGCGCCTGGGTGGCGCAGTCGGTTAAGCGTCCGAC